GACACATGGGAGCTAAATGTTATCTGGCCTGCAGATTTGGATGGCATATCTACTATTGGCATAAGCAACGTTTCTTCAACCAAAACTGTCATCCAGGGCTGCAGCCTCATCTTTTAACCTATTAGTACCTTTGCATTTGTTGTGCATTGTAAAATGTAAACTGAGGTAGATTTCTAGATGCACACACCCAAACACAAAAGTGCATCATTTTATTGTCACGAACTATTTTCTTTTCGGAAAATGAGGATAATGAAGTCAGTTCACTATGACAAATAATTTTTTTTGGATATGGATTTATAAATTTATGTCAGTGTGTTTAATATATCTGGCTATCTAGCTATCAAATTGAAACCATTATTGTTAGCAACTTGCCAACTTCTACTGTTTCTAATCTATTTTTTGGTCTAAAATTTTGAATACAATAGTAGTTTTATTGATCTTACCACCATTGGTTTTAATTGTTGAAAAGGTTGATTTTGGGGTTGTGTTGAATTGAATTGGTCAGGTTCAAGTTTGATCCAATTGAATTATCAGAAGTCCTTCTTAACTGTAAGGCATTTGCACGGTTTGTTAACCATCCTGTCAAAAGAAATCCCTACTAACCGTATTATTCGTTGTCTTGCCAATTTAGTCATTTTGACAAGGTAGAGGCTGACATTCAGAGACTGTAGAGCTAGCAGGGTAAGTTGTTTCATAATCCAGGGTAAGTGGGGACTTTTTAACTGTCATATTTTAGTAGTTATTTGAACCTTATATCCTTTGTAAATGTCAAAGTCTGCTGTCAAAATGAGCACAAAAAGGACACGGAATCTACCATATTTTGCTCTGAGCAGCATGTGAACCCATTAATTGAAAATTCTTTGGATTGTGCAGGAATGCGGATCTCACAAGTGTCACCGCCCAAAATACATGTAAACAAATATTAAAATAAAAACTCTGACCAGTTCATTTAGTTTACCAGGCTTCTGAATAGTGGAGGAGGGTTAAGACCTGCCGCTTAACAATTTATTATCATCCTTTCAGTAGCAGTCTATTTCTTAATAATGAAGTCACTCTTGACTTTTGGTAAAAAAAAAACTGATTTTTGCTCTACAGACTTTAATGGATGTGAGCAAGTTTTGTGATTTTCGGGGATACTCACATGAGACACCAAAGACTTTGAATTCAAATCCTTTTTATATGTTCAAACATCGTCTGCCCGATTGTCTCCTAACCATTGCTTAGGAAAACAATGTTTTTTTTCATAGTTTTATTTTGAATCTAATTTTATACATGCAAGCAATTCATACCCTTTTGCTAGGAAATACATATGTGGGAACTCAACTCATCTCCTTGAATATGCAGAACTCTACAGGTGCTGTCCCTTGTCCTTAGCTAAATCTCTTCATGATAACCGTTGTCATATTCTCTGCCTTGTTTTAACATTATTTCAGGGTAGTTTTGTCTCTAAAGCATTTGCTGATAGAAATGTTCATCCGCAGCTCAGATCTTGCTCTAAAGTCGATCAGGACTAAGCAGGATCAGAAGCTCTCTACTAGGCAGCTATCCAGGGAGATCTCAATGACCAACTCCTCTGGGGAAGTCTACTATGGCGGGCCATCTGTTGCTATCCCATTCATGTGGGAATCTCAACCAGGCACGCCCAAAGTCAAGCTTCGTGAAACTTCGATTCCTCCTCTCACACCTCCACCTTCCTTCCATTTCAATCCAACAAAAAAACCCATTAAAAAGCCCTTGAAGTCCAACATTTTGCTCTCTGTTCTCCCTAAGCTCACTCTGAGAACCTCCCTCCCATCATCACCTGCATCATCTGCATCTTCGTCATCGCCATCATCATCATCATCATCATCCCGAGGGTCATCTTCGTATTCAGTGCCGCAGTCTCCATATACACCTTCAACTTTAAGAGATCAATTCAGATTGCCAATCTCAAGATCATCATTTGATGCAAGGATGGATGAGGAAGATGAGCTTGGATCACGTGTTTCGACGTTTTGCTTTGGCATCGGACGCAGTACAAATCTCAGGTCCCGTGGCTGCTCTTCGAGTATGATCAAGGTATTGTTTGGAGAGTCTGCATGAAGTACTGTAAACTTATGGAATTTTGAAGCTTCATATAATTCTTCATCAGGGTGCAGTATGCTGTGCTTGCAATTTATGATCATGGAATTAATCTTGTAGAAACGTCTTGTTTCATGAAATAATTATTTCATAAATGGATGCAATGTATTTTATTTTGCTTTCATCATCTTCCTCGTCCCCATGTTTTGCTAGCAATTGGATGATCGTGTAATAAAAAAAACATCTATGATGTTATTTGTCATTTAATCTTGTAGAAACGCTTAGTTTCGTGAAATAATTATTTCCTTGTCAAATGGATGCTATGTTTGTTGTTTCTGCTATAACCATCCTCCCCATCTCTCTCTCTCTCTCTCTCTCTCTCTCTCTCTCTCTGTTTATTACTGTATCGAAGTCTGAAGAGCATGGGTGAGTACAGGAAACATAGCCCGGTCTAGTTAATTATGTTTGGATGCTTAGTGTGTTTTTGCCTCGAGGCATGTGAGTGTGCGAGTCGAAGAATACGTTGAGATTAGGGATGTTAATGGAGCTGAATTTAAGCTTAAATTGAGTTAAATTTATACATAAACGAGTTAACTTGTTTGACTATTTACACATAAATAAATTTTAAAAAATGTTCAAGTTAATCTTATTTAGCCTTAGTCGAGATTGGAAACTTTTGAGATGACATTAATTAATAGTCCCTAATTTAATGCATCACTTGAGCCCCACATGGAATCTGATCAACTTGGCATTGTTCTGTCCTGTTACGTACACTTACACCACCATAGATCGACGGGANGAGCCCCACATGGAATCTGATCAACTTGGCATTGTTCTGTCCTGTTACGTACACTTACACCACCATAGATCGACGGGAAAGGCTACGGTATGGTACCGTCCAAACATTATAATTTTTTTGAGTTATAAATTATAATTTTAAATGGTATGATGAATTATAAAAAATTTAAATTGATATTGAAATTGTTATGATTGATCACGAGTGTCTATGATCGATCATGATTTTTTTTTGAATAGTTATAAATGTTTTTTAAAAAAATTATAATTTTATTTATAAAAATTGATAATTGACGGCACAATATCAAAATTTATTTTTTTTCTCCTTAACGTAGAATTTCCTAGTTAGTTTTGCCTTTGGGGCTGTGAAAAAATATTCAAAAGCACATGACAATGGGAATCGATGAAACGAAATAAAGACATTGAACCTTCCAAGTATCCTACATACTTTCTCCAATGCACACTCACACTCTCTTCTCTTCCATTCAAACCTTATAATTCTTGAAAAATTATCCACTATTAGCGTTGAACTAATTTCTTTTAAAAATTTTAAGGTAAAGCATTACATGTAAGCTGTAAGGGCAGGTCAAGATTATTTGGGGCTTAAAACGACTACTATAAATGAGATTTTTTATTTTTAATGTTAATAATTTTTTTATGTTAAAAGTATTATAATCTTTGTTATGATAGTTGATTTTAGGAAATATTTTACCAATTTTAATTTTAAACAATCATAGTCTACTGATTTTAATTTTCCTAGTTTAATAACAAAAAAATATTTTGGTTTATTTTTCATAATAGAAATAAAAAAATTCGTAACAAAAAAAAAAAGATAATTTGTATTTACTAGAGATTAAGTGAGAGGGAGGGCCTTAGTTTACAAGTAAATATTCAATGTAACGGTGATAACACATGAGAGAGAGAGAGAGAGAGAGAGAGAGAGAGATTACAAATGGGTGGTGTGTTTTTAGTTTACTAGTTAAAATTATTTTTTTAACCTTAACTTCTTTTTTTTTTTTTTTTCTAAAAAATTTTATTTTAGTATATTTTTAATATTTTGGGTTGGGTTCATGAGCCCAAACTACCCAAATTCAATTTTGATTGAGTTTAAATTTTCATAAGATTTTTTTTAAGGCCTAAAATCTCATGGATTTAATTTTTTTTTGATTTGAACTAACTATATGACTTGAAATTTTGGGGCCTTCTTTGATATGGGCATAAAGTCCAGTCTTTGTTGGTCTATAAGCTGCTTCACAAAATTTAATTAGAGGAAACCAAATATTTTTCTATGAAATTTATATTTATACTATTTATAAATATCGGTAACTGCGAAAAATTTTAATTTCTTATTTTATCTCTAATTATTATAATAAAATCAATTATACCCACTTATATACTTTCATTTAATTTTTATTTTTTTACTCTTATTTGACTTTTAACTTATTTTGGACTTTTTTATAAGAATTTCTAATTTTTTTTAAACTTATTTATTAATAATATAGTTATATATAATTTTCTATATTTATATGGAAAAGTAAAGTCCTATATATCTTAAATTATTATACACATGAAGTTATCGATAAAATTTCAAAGTTAAGTATGTGTTATATTTTATTTTTTGGAGTGTAATATTATTATAAGCGGTCTAATCAATTTATTTAACAAAATAAAAGCAATAATTCTATAATACAAATAACCGATTAGGTACTCAAAAACTTTTATAATCAATAAAAAAATTATTATTTAAATTAATTTACGTGCGAAGCACGTCGTGCATTGCTAATAATTTAAAAATATGAGAATTAATAAGTATTTAGACTCTATAGAATTTGATTCTTTTATGTGTATATGGTTGGTCCAAGAATACTTGAGGCCCTGGATAAAATTTTAGATCGGACCTTAAATTTTTTTTAGATGAATATTTATTTATTTTTGTTTTAAATATTTAAATTCATATATTTTAATAAATATATTTATGGTGTAAAATAACTTGTAAATTCTTATTTTAAGATCAAAATTAACTCAAAAATTATAGTTCAAGAAAATAAAACTGAATAAATAGATCAGAGTCATTGAGAATTCAGATAAAATGACAGAGTAGAGTCTTGTAATTTTTTTTTACAAAAATATGATAGGATTTTTTTCTTTTCTTTTTGAATCTACATATATTTATGATTTTAAAAAAAAAATCTTAATAATTTTTGTTTTGATTGCTTCACGTAACATTCTAAATTTTTTACATTCGTCTGAAAATCCATTCATACAAACGAATGGGAGCTTTGGCCGACCGCCTTACTTGGCTAGGAGTAGAACCGATCCTGTGTATGCATTTATACACGGAGAGAGATGGATAGGATACTTTAGTTGTGCTATGAGCTATATAGATTTTAATGATCTTCAGGTACGCACGCACGGCCTATTAGATTAATGAAAATAAGACAAGTTCTACAAAGAGGTGGTAGAAAAAAGAGGCTGATACCAGGGCAACAGTCCTGCAAAGAAAATGCACACCCTTGTCGGTGGGGGACTATAATGAATGGTATACGACTTATTGCTGTTTGACTCAATATCAGGTACAGTTGCAACCAGTCATGCCCTATAATTGACACCATAAAGTTCAATCACCGTCGGGAGAATTCACAGCTATGACATAGTCATGGTTCTAGGTTCTAGGTTCCAGGTTCCAAGTTTGAACTTCGGTTTATCCAATGTGCGTGTGCTCTTCGTATGATTGTGCTAATTATCTGAAATTTAGTAACGTTATCAAATAATTTTCTCGTATGAGAGTTCACATAATTTTTCCCTTACTTCAACGACAAAAAGTTCATCATGTTTGAGAGCTTGTATAAAAATATTACACTTGTTATATCATCCCCTACATATAGAAAGAACTCTTGTTACAAATCCCAAGTTTAAGGGACAATTAGGCATGGTACTTCAACCGTACCAATGATTTGTAGCATCCGATGTAACAATTCATTAGAAATTAACGTAAAAATAGCTTGTTTACAATCAAATATGACAAGATCAATCATACGAGTCTTACTTGAATTAGATATATCAGGATATGGGGTTTGATAATACAAATAGTGGGTGTGTCAGTGACATCACATCATTATTTATGCGTAATGTTACCATTTAATAATAAATTTATAAATGAGTAAGGTGAATGTCACCTAGATAATTATTAAATGACATGACATGACATGGTAATTATTATAATATGTGTGATACACATACTTATTTGTTTTAATTTTATTAAATGCTGATATTACGTGATAATGAAGACGTGATAGCACCGTTATACCCAATATTTTTTCATCAGGGTGGCAGCGCCCATCAGATTTGCAACTGTTGGCGTGTGATGTAGAATAACGGGGGCAACTCATTTTTGTGCCTTCAAAGTACAATGAAAGACGGAAAAATAATAANGTTTGATTCGTCCGATCAGGGCGGACTGGAAAAATACTTTAGGGCTGTGACATTAGTAAATTTTAATAATTTTTTCATCAATGTTACCAATGACTTAATTCAATGTAACTGTTATTTTAATTGTAAATTTTAATGATTGATGAAATCTATTTTCAGGGTGCATTGAATTATGTCATCAAATTAGATCTAAATAACAATTTTCATTTCTTTTTTCAATTGACTATAGAAGTTTATAAANGATCCGGTCAATCATCAAGACTCATTACTTTTTCACGAACTCTTTTAGTTTTGGGTCATATTCTATCGTTTAAGTCATCAAAATCTCATTTTTGTCACTTTTGAAAAAACATCAAAAATTAATAATAAATCATAGGAGTTTTTGAATTCAACTATGTCAATTTTGTTAGACCACATGTGCTTTTATGTTAATTAGTAAAATCGNTTTTGATTCGTCCGATCAGGGCGGACTGGAAAAATACTTTTGGGCTGTGACATTAGTAAACTTTAATAATTTTTTCATCAATGTTACCAATGACTTAATTCAATATAACTGTTATTTTAATTGTAAATTTTAATGTTTGATGAAATCTATTTTCAGGGTGCATTGAATTATGTCATCAAATTAGATCTAAATAACAATTTTCATTTCTTTTTTCAATTGACTATAGAAGTTTATAAATTCATATTTACTATAATTATGCGTAAAAATTTATTAAATATAGAAGGTTAAAAAACGATTTGTATGGAATTAACAAATAAAAAATAAAAGTAAATTAATTAAAATTTCGTATGAG